ACTCGAGAGGCAAGGACTTACTATGTGTCCCACGCGACCGTCGTCTTCGGACTCGCCTCCTCGGTGAGTACCATGATTCACGACTCGCCGGCCATGTCGTAGTCAACCGCACTATTGCACGGCTTCTACAGCGATTCCGATGGCCCGACCTCATTACCGATGTCACTCGGTATTGCGACTCTTGCGAAGTTTGCCGTCGCAGCAAGCCCCACAACCGCAATCCCTACGGCGAGTTACACCCGATGCCTATCCCACGGGAACCCGGTCTCTCCATTGCCATGGACGTCACCGGCCTCTGTCTCTTATACACATCTAGATGTGTATAAGAGACAGGTATACAGAACATTGGGTACACATGAGAGTCTGCCAAAGGGCATTACTGCCCTCAGCAAAACACGGCAATAGGGGAAAAAAAAAAAAAAAAAAAAAAGAAGTCGAAATGGTCTTTGGACGTGAAAGCGGCTGGATACAGAACATTGTGCACAAGTGAGAATATGCCCTGCCAACGGGTGTTACAACCCTCAGCAAAACACGGCTGTAGGGGGGGGGGAACGGGGAAAGCAAAACGACAACAACTCTTTGGCCGTAAAAGCTAATGGAACAGATATGAGAGTTTAATAAATGGAAAATATGTCCTTGGGAAGACTATAGGGGTGGAGGAGGAGAAGACAAAGAGCAAGAAGGAAAAAATAAAAACAAAAGCTACTTGGGCTGTTGCGGGGGGCGGACAACCTCTGACGGTTTCCCCCCGATCGATCGATCGATCGATCGATCGACTGGCCAGCTGGTCGCGAACCGGCAGGTTGGGAGTCACCACCGGCCGTCAGACGTCCTATTTCGGACTGGAGACTGTCTTTTGACTTTGCTGCTCATCCTTTTCTTGAAGGTGTGATGGGTTCTCCACCCTGATTGGTTGCCCATCAGTGAGGGTGAATATATATGGTCAGTCAGTGGCAACAAGCAAGTTGGGGTGCTGTGGTGTAGATAGAAAACAAGCTGCGACAGGCACTGGGAACAAAAATCGAAAGAGAGAAAAAGTGTGGCATACTGCGTAGCCACACGGGCCCTGCAGGGCCCGTCCCGGACATTCAGCCTAAAAGCCTAAAACTTAGGGCGTACAGGCCCCGTTCGTTTCAGCCTGGATGCTGAAAAACGAGGGCCTGCAGGCCCCTACCTCGTTTCAGCCTATTTCTGGGTCTTTTCAGACCCAGAGTTTTCAGCCTGAAACGGAGGGCCATTTTCAGGCCCTCATTGTTTCGACCT